TACTACTTTAATAGTGTCTAGTGAAAGGCTGGTCATTTTAATTGATCAACTGATTATAACTAACATTTCTTCTGAGACAATAAGCTTGTTCCACTTTTAAGAATCATGAAAAATTTGAAGGGAAACAGTCTGTATCCCACCATATGCCATATTAGCATATGAATTGTTTTGCAGGCCCAAGAGATAGGACAGGGGTTAAGAAGCTTGCCTTGCAGAGAGTGACACTAATCCAACTTGTCCCTGAGCACTGCCGCAAGTGAACTATGCTGAGTGTGGTCCAGAAAGCAAAAAAGTGAAATAATTGTTTTGGGCCAAAGGCCATCAGTCTACAATCTCCTCTTTCTTTTCAAAAACAGGACAGGTATACAAGTCACTCTGAAAAAGTATTTCCCACTCCTGTATCTGGAGATAATTCTTACCATCTGAGAACTTTCATCTACTTAATGAATCTTATCAGACAGCCCTTATTTATCATAATTTCCCCTACTTAACTTTCCATAATATACCCTCAACTCAGGTGCTCCAATTACTTTCACTTAGTCTAGCTTCTTGCTTATCACCATTTAGTAAGATGTTAAGATACATATATAGAGAGTCTCCGATGCTAGCCATCTATTTGAATCACATTTCTTAGTGAAATCCTTTATGTACATAGAAGCATAAATCTTTTTTTCTCTTTTCACTTAATAGCAGTTTAATTCATGGACCCAGTCAGTGAACCTGAGGGTAGCATTAACCTCTTGTTCATCAATTTGCTTGAGCGGGTACCAGTAACATCTCACAACAAATTGTGAGACTTGTTGTTACTGTTTTGGCATATCGAATACGTCATGGGGAGCTTACTCTCAGTAGCTTGCCAGGCTCTCCGAGAGGGGTGGAGGAATCGAACCTGGGTCAGCTGTGTGCAAGGCAAACGCCTTACCCACAAGGTTATCGCTCCAGCCCAACCTGAGGGTAGAGTTCTTTTTCCCCCTACATAGTCAAGATTGGTCTTTATATTTCAGAACTCTTAGCAATAAGGTCTGTATATTGGAATTGTTGATGTGCTTTAATTTTCAAGCCTAGTAGTCTGCATAATTTTGGATACTTACAATATCATTATCATAAACATGGGGAAAGTGTCCAAATATGCTTCAACTCTAGCTCAAAGGGCCAAGGAACCAGAAAGTTTTGCTATTTTTAGTTTAGTAGTATTGGGCAGATGGAGAGGTGGAGACTCACGCCTTTCAGTGCTCAGGAGTGACCCTTGGCAGTGCTTGGCAATCATGTGGTACTAGTGAATCAGACCAGGGTTGACAGCATACCAGACAGATGCAGTAGACCCTGTGCTTGTGCGCCTGGAACTGACTTCTTTCCTAATACACAGACCACACTCCAAAAGAGTCTTTACTGAATTCCTGTTAAACTGAAAGTAGATCAGGGGTTAGGGGTATTTTTAAACCTTTTTTTAAACACCCATTTTTAATCTATTCTATTTCACTTTTAACCCCAAAATATCTTCGCTCCCATCAAGCAATTCTCCTTACTGCACGCCCTATGATGGTCTCCTAGCTTTCTCGTCTTTGTTAAAGCATTTCCTCTCACTCCTCCTTTCTTCCTGCTTAAACCAGATTGGGGAGCAGGGAGGCTGGGGATGGTTCGTCGTCTTCCATCAGAGTTCCTAAATTCTTCCAATCCTTACTCAGAATTCTCCTCTTAAACTTATTGACTTCATACTTTCTTCCCACACAAGATGAAATAATCCTCAAGCGCAGTCTCTTCTCCTTTTGCTAGGTTGCACAGAACCACATCTAGGCATGTAATGAAAGTTAAAGAGTGGCTATCCATGAACTTCACCTTGTGTTCCACACAGATGAGAAAGCAACAAATTACACATAGTTCTGTCTCCTTCAGGACACTTCCAAGCAAACGTCCCAGACTGGCAGCAGAGTTTGAGATTGGAACCTGTGTTTTATTTGGCTCAGACAATGTTTGAACTGCTCTAAGCCGGATATTTCATTCCACTTCATTGCACTCTGTATATCTTATCTCATTTCACTAATTTATCCTACCTGTAGTCTCTTGCAAAACATCCTTAATTTCACAACTCTTAATTAGAAAAAATAAATTACTTCTTAAATTATGCTAACAATCAGGCTTTTGCCATTCCATACACTAACAAGGACCAGTTAATACATCTCAAAGTTTCAACATCACGATATACCACTGATTTACTGCGTGCTGTCCGTGCTATGAAAACAAACTTTTTTTTTGAGAAAAAAATCCAAACATTGAAGACAGATGGTATATTAGTTGAAGAAAAATAATTGCACCAATGGTCTGTGCTCTCTTTAAGCAAAGGAGAAGACAGAAGAAACTGCTTTAAGAGAGAACCAAGCTACAAAGAGCAGAGGCCACTTTGAAAGAATCGAAGAATCCATTTCTTTTTGTGTTGGTGACTTACATATATTCCAGTAAGAACCGGCAGACATGAACAAAGAAATATTCTGACTCCACCTTTGAAAAAAAAAACATGTAGGAGGAGGGCATTCTCAAGACGCTAGAAACCCAAATGCTTTAGTCCCACTATTTTAGCTGTCACCAATCAGTTAGCGTGATAACAATCTGATAAATCCAAGACTTAATCAGTGAATAAGGAACACTGGGGTTGGGGAGGTTGGGATTAGGGATTTCTAGGAACTAGTACTTCACTAAGAACCAGATTTTTTTCAAATCATTGCTTACTTTTGTGATAGATGAGTTAATGCTTGAGGTCTTTATTTTTAGAAAAGCACTTGGTTAATTTTTTTTTCCTCTGCAGGTGCCCCTATGAAAAACAATGATTCAACTGACTAGGATAGTCTAGAATTAGTCTGGTAAGGAGGACAGGGCTAACTGAGGTCAGCTGATTCATCAGTTCATCTCAGCAGAATCTACTGAGGATCAACTGGGGATTCTTAGCTATCACCATGCATGTGGTTCATTGCATCCATAATTCTGATTTTTAACAAAAACCAGAGAGAAGATGATGAGTGAGAGGCAGATGATACCACTTATTGATATGGATAAGAAGTTTCTCAAGGTTACAACGTGAGTAGGGGTCAGGACCACGGTGTAAAATCTAGTCTGTCACCCTGCCCCTCAAGCCCAGGACTACCACAGAAGCTTCAAGATAGGCCAGCATGACAAAAAGAATTGTTCCATATATATCACCTGTGACTTGGCTGGTGAACAAAGTTACCAAATGTGTTGATGACATTCAAACAGAGGACAAGCCTACCAAATGCTAAGGTGAAACCTACCAAGTCATAAACTGGCTAGGGGAATCAAGTCAGGAAGGCAAATGTTACTATTTAAAAAGTTTAACTGCATAATTACACAATGTAAAGACTATCTTGACAAAAATGTGTGCTGGGGGGGGGGAATGTAAGGTCTTTAGTCAACGTAGATGTGATCAGTATAAATGCCAACTCGTAGACAATTTGTGGAAGAGAGGAATTAATTGCACTCTTTTCTAACTAGGCTGCATTACTAAACTCAGGCTTAAGAATTTTAGCACAGAGAAGGGTCTGAGGTAAAGAAGGAAATGAAAGTGATTATTATTTATCCAAAGATAACTTGGTTGACTTTGAGGTAACTATTCTAAATTCATTGTTGAAGATGTATCTCATTGAATGCTCACAATTTCTCTATATAAATAAAAGTGCACTCCCATTCCCATTTCACAGATGAAGAAATTGAGGCCCCGGGGTCTAAAAGCCTGGCAAGTAAAAGGAGACCAGGTTTACTCTGTGCCTTTTTAGATCTTTCCTTTCTCTCTCTTCCAACACCACACTCTCCACCAGTATCTGCTTCCCTCTACTGAGGTCTGAGACCTTTCATTTCTGAACTTTTTATTGTTTGTGTGTGTGTGTGTGTGTGGTGTGTGGTGGGGGGGGGGGAGGTGTCAAGAACTCCTTTCATCCACATGAGTTCTGGATTTTCCCTGTTGAAAAATTCTGCATCTAATTACACAGGGTGGAGGGTTACTTGGCAGAAGCAGAATTAATGAGCAACACGTCTGAAGAAGCAAGCAAGTGCAGCCCAAGGCCTGGTAACAGAAAGGGCGGGTTATCCTCCCACCAAATGCAGCCGCCCGCACTCCTTGCCACAGGCCCGGTTCCTCGAAGCAGTGGCTGTTCGCTGGGCGTGCCAGGGAGCCAGAACGGCTGGACGGGAGGATGGTCTAAAGGAACACGCTGCTAAGACCGTGGACCTAAACGAGCAACTTCCATCCGACGGCCAACCCCAAGTGACTGCGTTCCCAGGCCGTCTTCCTGGCACGTAGGGTCAAGCCTACCTGAATAACGCTCTGTCCCTTCCACAAACCAGAGTCGGAGTTCAGGTACTCGAATGAGGTTTTCCGCCTCAGAACCCCAGCTCTGGCTAGTGCTTTGTGCTTGGTCATAATAAAAGACTCCTCACCTGAACGCTTAAATGCATTCATTCCCCTCGGAGCCTAAGTGAAACCCGCCCCGGTCCCCGCAAAGACGCAGACTTTGATAAGGGCGTGATTGACGCCCGGGAATGACAGTCTCCCTCTGCCCAGGCCGGGGAGGCGGCGGCCGACTGGAAACAGTTGCAGTCCTTCTGCCTTTGCTCCTGAGATCCCGTCCCCCCGGGCTGGAGCTCCTGGCCCCGCGAGCCCCAGCCTGCACTCCAGACCCAGCTCGCCGCGGTTCCGAGGAGCATCAGAGCTACTTTGCTCTTCCCAAGCCACTTTGGAACCCAAGATTGGCAGCGGGGGAAAGCACAGAAAGGCGCGGTTCCGACGCGAACCTTTAAAAAAAAATTTTTTTTTTTTTTTAAATCTGGAAGCCTGTGGTCAGGCTGGAGTAGCGTGGGCGCAAGTCCCAAAGCCCGGGAGCCGCGGGGCCGAGCGAGGTGCACGGGCGGGGCGCGCGGCCCTGCAGGCTCGGTGCTCGGACTCCCGCCGCCCGGGAGCCCGCGGGGCAGACCTGGGGTCGCAGGGGTGCACTTACCCGGCACGTCCCCGGGGAGCCGCGAGCCATCGCCCCTCGGGGCTGCGGGAGTCCGGGCGGCCGCGGGCGGGCGCTCGCTGAGCTCCGCGCCCCGAAGCTCCGGCGGGCGCGGAGGCCGAGGTTCGGGCGAGCGGCGGCGCAGCCGGGATCCGGGATCCGGCGTCCGGTGGCCGCGCTCGGGGCTCGGGCCCCTCCTCCCGCGCCGCACCGCCCTCCGCGACCTCCTCGCGGGTTCGCGCCCCGCGCCCGCCGGGGGCCGCAGGTGCCGCCTCGGGGAGCCGGGCTTCGGGGCGCGCCCTCTGCGGGCCGAGTTCAGCGCGGGCCGAGGAAGGGCAGGGGGGCGCAGGGGTCTCCAGCAGAGGTGCGAGGCGGGGGTGCTGGGGGAAAGCGGCCGCCGCCCTCACGCTCCCCTCACCGACGGCTCAGAACTTGGCCCCTTCCCCGGGCGCGGGAATTAAGACCCCCCCATCACTCACCCCCAAAGTTCCAAGAAAACTACGCGGCTGTACGCATGCAGCAACCCACCGCCCCGCCGCGCCCAGCTGCAGGTGATCTCTGAGCAGCTTCCCCCAGGCCTCCAGGACCCAAGGTTCGAGCCCTCCGACCCCGTTTTCACCCTCAAATCCTACAAGTCCCCCCACTCGAGGCCCTGATTTTACGTGCTTGGGTCCAGAATTGGCGGAACAGAAGTGACTCAGTGGCTCAAGCCTTTACACGTAAACAAACAAAACCCCCAGATTCTACTCCCCCTAAAGACTCGACAGCAGTTTCCAAAGCCTGCTGCGTCCTAAACAAAACACCTTTTATGAAACCTGGAAGTCACCTCCCCCAAACAAGGTCCTGATTCAGTCCAGCGTGGCCTTTGTGATGGCCCCAGCCCAGCACGGTTCCTAGCAATAGTCAAAGCCCAAACAGTCAGAGCATACAAAAGAACCTTTATTGGGTTCTTGTGTCCCACAATGGATTAGTCATGCAAACATTCAATCTTGAAGGCCCAGAGCCTAGTGATGGTTTCACCTGACTCAAAAAACAGCTGGAGAAAGACTGACCCTACAAGGCTCAGATCTGAGGATAGTGAGGCTTAGCTACCTTCAGGTTTAACAAAGAGTAGGGGCTGGAGAGATAGGACAGTGGTTAAAGCACTTGCCTTGCACCCAGTAAAACGGGGTTTCATCCTGGCACCATATATGGTCCCCTGAGTTCACTGAGTATTGAGTATTGCCTGGTATGTCCCCTCCCCCAGCAAAACAACAACAACAACAAAAAGATAAGAAAACAGGTATAACAAAGAATCACTATAGACCAGGGTCTGGGAGCACAAACTATGCAAAACCTAGCAGGGATCTTTTAGCATCCATATGAACCAAGCATTCTTACTTGTAACTAAAACTTAAATGAAGATAACATTACAGTAGCCCCGAAATGTAATTTTTCTTCAAGACATAATGGAATTGGAATGGGTACACTCTGACAATGTGAAGCTACTAATAGTCCTAGGTTTGTCAGATCTAAGTCTTTGTAATGCAAATTGATTATGCATTAAAACTCATAAAAGAATGAGTTCTACATTTTTCAGGCATACAACATAATCGTTGAGCTTCTGCCTTTAGCCCTAATTTACCAACCTCGTTCAAGAATAAAAGGTTAGATAGATTTCTTCTCTGGATTCCACAGGAAGAAATCAGCGTGAGTCCTTAGCCACTGAGGATGAGACAGGAGAAACTAAAACATTTTCCAAGTCTTTTGCTCCCCAGTTAACCAAAGCACAAGACTAGGAGGAAAGAGACTCTGGCCTCCGCAGAAGAGGAAAAACTGTATGTACGCACATATTCCCCAACTGTGCGATGCACTTGTTCATCTTCCTGTTTTTGTTCCCCACGACGCCTTTTGGAAGGCTTGGGGACCCCCGGTGCATGGTCTAAACCGGCACACAAACGTAGTTCTGCAGTGCAGCTCGCTGGCTGTGGCCCCCGTCATTGGGGCTAGGGCTCTGGTTCGCCCAGGGCTCGCCCTCTTTCTACCACCCCAGGGGCTGGTTAAGACAGAGGAAAACCCCACGGGGTTGTCCACGAAATGGCCAGTCTGATGCTCTGTAGCTGGGGGGCTGGTGCCTAGAGCGGTTCCTAGGCCGCCTCAGACTCTGCTTCTACCCCCAGCGGAGGTTGCATCTCCAGATATCGAGCAGAGGCCGCCAGCGGCCAGTCTAATGACATCCATATGGGACCTTGGTCTCCCCTATGGCCTCGGGTTGGGTTTCTTTCTGGTCTAGACCAAGACTTGCAGAAGCCTCTGAAGAAAATATACCTGGAGGGAGCTCGGCGCCCTCTACTGTTGGGATTGGGAAGGACAGACAGAGGTCCGACCTGCAAGTCAGAGCCCGGCGTTTCCTTGCTCTGGGGGGTTTGAACCGGGAAAGAGGAAGGACAAGGGTTCTCACAAAGTCCAACCGCTGATGGCAGAAGCAAAATGAAGGAACATGAGTGCCTTAAGTGTAACCTGTTAAATGTTGGCGTAATAAGTGTTGAGGAGAAAACCCCCTCAAAAATAAGGCTTTACCCAAATGCAGTAAGGGATTGGACACAAGCACGAGCGGGCCCAGTAACGTCTCCATTGGAGACTTTGTTGTTACTGTGTTTGGCATATCGAATACATCACGGGGAGCTTGCCAGGCTCTGCCGAGCGGGCGAGATACTCTCCGTAGCTTGCCGGGCTCTCGGACACAAGCTATCATAAGAATTCAGTGAGTTTTGAGTTCCTTGTTTCCAGCATGTCATGGAAATTAAAATAATGGAAGTAGTAGTAGTATAGTAGTAGTAGTAAGAATAATAATGATAAAGATAGTTATAATGAAGTGCTAGAATTTAAACCCAAAGCAAATTGGCCCAGAGACATCCCAGCAGGTATTGGAAGGAGAACCACATTTTTATCCACAGAATCCCCAACCTAAAACTTGGCTGAACAAAAAGCTCACTATATATATATATATATATATATATATATATATATATGTATATATACACATATATATCTCCTTCAGTCAAAGCACCCTATAACCTTTTCCTTGTAAATTTCTCTTTTTCTTTCATCCTCCTTTCCTTCCCCTTCCCTTTCTTCCCTTCCCTCCCTCCCCCTCTCCTCCCCTCCCTCCTTCCCCTTCTTCCTTCCTTCCTTCCTTCCTTCCTTCCTTCCTTCCTTCCTTCCTTCCTTCTTTTCCCACACCCAATGATACTCAAGGGTTTACTTCTGACTCTGTACTCAGGGATCACTCCTGGCGAGGACTGGGGAACCATAGAGGGTGCCAGAGATCAAACTCAGCTTGGCCATGTGCAAGACAAGTGCACTACCCACTGCACTATCACTAGGGCCCCAAACAGGTCCTGTTTCTATCTCAGTCCTCTTCCATGCACAGTGCAGACATACAGCAGAGACATGGGAAGTACAGCACACTCCAACTCCAGCTCCCGTGTCTGCTTCAGGCCAGGCCAGCAGACTCACACTTGTGCAAGCAGCAAGAGAGGGCACGTCGTTAGCCAGGCAGACAGAAATATGATGTGAAGTGAGGTGCCTCCGTCCATGGGGTTCCCTCGGCCACCACTGTGGCACTGGCCAGCATATCTGAGGATCAAACATTTGCATTTATCGTCTGATTATATAGCAATAAAGGATTGTAGAAGCAGAGAAATCTGGGAGAGTCACAAGAGAGCTTGCGGTGTAAATTAGAAAGTGAGGGATGGGACAGAAATGTCTGCCTAGGTCCCAGGGCAGTGGCTCAGAGGTAGTGCCTTGACAGGTCCTGGAGAGTCTGATCCCCACATTGCCAAGTGTGCTCTCTGGCACAGCAACCAAGTGTGTGGGCACTGTATTCAGGTAGGAGAGACAAACAAAAGGCACGATTGTGTCCTACCAGTGTGGAGTAAGAAGTCTAATAGAATAGCATCTAGGTACAATTTACAAGAAACAAATGTTTTACTTCCAGAGTGATAAATGATAGAGAAATGAAATAAGACTTTTGCTTCATGCCCACGCCACAGCTCCCACCTGACTTTTGCTTGTTGCTCCACCATCCCAGGTGAATCATCTCTGGCTGATATCACTGGGCCTATTCCAAAGAGAGGCTAAACCCCTTCCTCCTGGGTGGGTCCCGGTAGCCTCCATACCCATACTGTGCCATGCTAAGAGCCCACACCACAGCTTCTGAAGCACATGGCTGTTCATGCGGCCGTGTCATAATATATCTACTTATTCTTCCTGTCATTCTGTGAGGAAGGGCAGAGAAGACAGAGAGCAACCTTCCGCTTAATACCCCGGTATCAGCCAGGGGGCAACTACAAAGACTCACCTCCAGCAGAACAAAAATACTAGAAGACCAATGGGGAAAGCACATAATGGCCCACCAAGTTTAATGAGTGAAAACGATATCACTGAAGACATAAGCCACACCAGTAAATCCTCAGTGTCTTAGTGACACTATGATGGGGATATTCAATGAGTTCAAATAAATGACAGCACAGGTAGTCCGCAAAGCACAAGAAAATGCGAGAGTAGGAATGAAAACACGACTACAGAAATAACAGAAAAGAAGAATACGGTTGTTGATATAAAAAAGTTAATCGAAACTCTGAACAACAGAATAACAGAAGCCGAGCAAAAGATCAAGGAGCTCCCAAAATGAGGAATTGGGAACAGCAGAAGCTGGAAAATATCTTGGAAAGAAATTCACACCAGAGAACTATGGAGTGAGTTCAAGAGGAACAATAGAAGAATCACTAGAGTCTCTGAAGAACAGGAATGCAAATGTGATGAATAACAGTAAAGAAATTATAAATAACTTCCCAGAGTTGAGGATTTCAGACAGAGATCCAAGAGACTGTATAATCCCAGTGGAAAGAGATTAAGTTAGGAAAACTCCACATGTTACTCAAAAATGATAAAATCTAAATAGAAACAGAATACTGGAAGAAGCAAGATCAAAAGAAGAACTGAGGGGTTGGAACGATAGCACAGTGGGTAGGGCATTTGCCTTGCACACAGTCGATCCGGGTTCGATTCCCAGCATCCCATATGGTTCTCCAAGCACTACCAGGAGTAATTTCTGAGTGCAGAGCCAGGAGTAAGCCCTGTGTATCACCGAGTATGACCCAAAAATCTGAAAACAAAACAAAACAAAAAACAAGGGACTGATGTACAAAGAAAAGTCTGTAAGATGTAGCAGATTGGTCAAATGAAACTGTGAGCCAGAGAATATGGAAGAAAAAACTCGACATAAT